TATCTTCTTTTTTATCTGAAACGACAGAAATAAACGAAATCATCAACGGCTTGAAACACTTTGTATCAGATTACTATTTGGCCAAACCCTATACACTGTAAACTAGAAAATGAGTTATAGAGTTTAATCGAGGATATTCTAGGAATGCCTATATGAATTCGCCGATGAATTTCTAAATTCTTAAAAATAAGATATTCGAAACATTAAAAATATGAACTTTGATTTTCTAATTAGAAAATCGAGAGTGAATTCATATAGGCATTCCTAGAATTTCGGATTCGATATAGCAATTCGAATATTTTTTAAAAATTGGAAAATCCAATTGGATTTTCATATCATAATGAAGTATCTTTTTTTCTTCATGTTGATAATATATCATTTATAATTAATGCATCGAAATAATAAATAAACATCATTGATCATTAATGCATCAAATAATAAATAAATAAATATCATTGTAACTAATGCATCAAAATAATCAGTAACTATCATTGGTCATTAATGCATCTAAATAATAGAAAAATATCATTGATCAATAATGTATCTAAATCATAAATAAAAATCATTGATCATGCATCAAAATAATAAATATCATCGAATATTAATGCATGAGAACAATAAATAAAACCAAATCATAGTATTCTATTCAAATTTAAAACTTGAATAATAACTAAAAAAATATAACTTATCTACTCGCTATGGCTGCCGAAGAAAATAATAAATGCACAGCACCATCGGTTGACTTATATGCATGAATGAACAATGACTCTATAGCGGTCATGGTTCAAACGATTTTCCAGAAAGTTGCTTTTATTTTTGACTTTCTCTAGAATTTATATTGATTTTCTAATTCATTTGAAAATCATTTTTTTAGAAAATCAAATTGAATTTCTATAAATTGGAAAATCAAGCATTTTCGAATTATTCAAAATTCAATGAATAAACCATGAAACTTTAAAAATGCTTCAGCTTATTTGAGATCGATTTTCCGAAAAGTAGAATTTCAAAAAAAAATTACAGTGTATAGACTTCATACTCTCGTAAAGATTTCATTGATATTGAAGTTACAATCCAAATGAATCGAATAATTGTATTATTATGTGCTATCACTAATAGAAGTCGAGCCGTGCTATTGTCACATGGATTATGTTTAGGTAATGTCGGTAAAACACATGCCTGAAATTATGATATTTAATCGATAACATTGGTTTAGACTTAATGGAGTACTTGATGTTGTCATTCTTGTTATTAGATCCATTTGTGTTTGTGCATCATGCTGATTTACTTTAATTGTTGGTTGTGCTTGATCCGTTTGTTTTCTGGTTTTTTGTTTGGTTCAAAATTTACTAGTATTTTATTTTGACGTTTGCATATCGGTGAAAGATGATAATCATTTAATAAATTGTTTTGTTCCTGTTCCTGACCTGTTGTTGTTTTTATTAAATTAGTTCCCATGTAGTGAAAACCGGGTAAAAACCGGCGGTTCAGCGTGGTTTACCGCTAAAAATGATTCAGTTTTTGCGGCATGGGTTTGTGTTTGTGAATCCTGTTGGTTTATTGCAATTGTTTGCTGTTCTCGATCCGTTTTATTTATTAATTTTTTTTTCATAATGACGTTTGAATACTGGCGAACGATAATTATCATTTAATGATGTTTCTTGCTCTTATTCTTGACTTGTTGTTGTTTCTGTTGTTGTTATTAAATCAGTTCTTGTTTGTGAATCATGTTGATTTATTTGAATTGTTTGTTGTTCTTGATCAACTTTATTTATATTTGCTAATATAATTCATGAACTGTTGAAGTTTACATTTTAATGTTTGTAAAAGAGGATTATTATTTAATGATGTTTTTTGTTTTTCTTCTTGACGTATTTGTTGTGAAGCTTGTTCATGTTCAAATAAAAGATATTCATTAGTGGAATTTACTGTTGTTGAAGTGGATGTAGTTTGATGACATTGCCAAGAACATAATTGTCGATGAATGCTTGATGTTGATACTAAACAAAGATTTTACAATGACAAAAGATGTTAAATTTACAATGAATAGTTCAAAGGTTGTCTGACAAAATGTTTCTTTATTTTCTGAACGATTGTAAGAATCAGCAGAAATTGTGAGGATGTGGGGTGTAGATAGGGGTAGGTCTTATCTTCACTCACACCCACACAGACCAACAATTTTTCCCTTGCAAAACTCTATACTTCGATTTTTTTTAACTACAACTTTTTTTGTGACAACTAGGATCAAATCGGAGTGCGTGTTTGTGTTTTATTTCCAAAAAAAACCATCCTAGAGCTCAGTAGGAGCAAAATACTGAAAGTATCGCCAAAAAACATGTGTTTTTTTTTCGTAATGGTACTAATTACTAACATGGTGAAGAAAGTAAACACATGCACTTCAATTTGACTAAGGTACTGATTAAAAAAAAGATTTGATTCCGATCGGACGCACTGTGTGGGAGACAACGGGGAAATTTTCAATTTTTCTATTCAAAAAATTGTTTTGAAGAAAAACCTGAAATAATATATAGCTTTCGTTATTTCCGTTTCGCCCATGGTGTAAATTTCTGCGAAAAAAACGCGTTCTGAAAACGCAT